CTCGTTATCCTTCCAGCAGATTTCCTGGAGTGCTGCTAGATCTATCTTATATCTTAAAAGTTCTTCCTCTAGATTTCCACTTGCTTCGATCTGGAGGAGGCTTTTCATGTTCCATGTTCCTAAAGACAAGTGTTTTCCATGTCTGCGCCTGGGTCATACCATTAAATCAGTTTGGCTATTTCTTTGTGAAGGATCCATAACAATGATTGTTTTACACGGCTTGGTCGTTAGCCCGATGCCTAACCCCAATCTAGAGGACCAGGAGATTTTTGATCAAGGTTCTCTTCCTCTAGATGTGTTGTCTTCATTACAACTGTGGAGCCACATCTATCCCGAGCTAGTTTTGGTCCACCCTGAGTATTTCATTTCCCGGGTACCACCCATATATAGTCATTTCAACTCGCCACCTCGGATGCCAAGAAAATGATGCTCATAAGATTTACCTAAGCAAAGCTATGTCCGTAACCAACAGACACTTGTACTACTGGTTGGCCCGGCAAAAGAGGTCTGCAGGGAAAATCAGATACATTTGGTTTAGTGCAGGCAAGGTGAAATGTCAACGAGACGATGGCCATCAGGTCGTCGTCATCAACTCACCATCAGACTTGGATATGTTTGCTTGACATTCACACACATGTTACATTACTTTGTACAATTTTGTTTTTACTTTTTCATATCTTCAGATGTATGTTTTTGTTGCTTTTATTTTATTAATATACTTTGGTAATAATTTTATTTTTGTTTATGAGATCATTTTAGGTTTGATCTGTTTAAAAATTTTAATTTATGTATTTTTTTCTTTCTCACAGTTGGAACAGACTTTTCGTTAACTAAATTTTTCCCTCATTATTAATATCTGGGAAATTTCATATACTCATTGTTCCTCTCAATAGAGATATTGTCAATAGTTATGGTCTCTGGGCTCATATTGGCTCTAGCTACTGTAGAAATATTCCTATTCTTAACTTCTGTCCGTTTAACAAGCCACCCCTCCTTCTTCCATGACTAATATCCTTTTAACTTCCCATGTCAACACTCAGTCACTCTTAGCTCATTTTGATGAATTTTACGACTTTTTTCTCCATAACTTCCACCATTTAATTGCCGTATCCGAAACCTGATTGAAACCCACAATCCTGTTCCAGATCCTTCTACCTAACTATACTCTCCTTCATCATGACAGAGTAGACCGCACGGGTGGTGGAGTAGGTCTCTTTCTCCATGACAGTCTTAAATCCAAAATCCTTCATTGCTCTTCCTTAACCAATTCTCTGCATGTTGAATACTTGTTTGCGGAAATTCTCACAACCTCATCTGCCATTCTGTTTGCTATCATATATCGCCCTCCTAGAATTCCTTTTGATGAATCATTTGAGACTTCTCTGTACAACTTAATCCCTTCCTACTCAAATGTCACTCTGGAGACTTAAACACCAATTTACTGATGCCATCCTCCTATTATTCTTACCTAACAAACCTCCTTCATTCTCTCAGCCTTCACATAGTACCATACAATCCAACTCATCATACTCAGTACTCAGAGTCCTGGCTCGATCTGTTTATCCTAGGTTCCTCAGACAAACTCCTTGCCGCATCCCAGCACCCAGTCCCATTTCTGTCATCACACGCTCTTATCCAGATCTCTTACAATATCCTTGTCCCATCCTTTTCTTCCTAAACAATATCCTTCTGAAACATATACTCTCTCACTCACGAAACACTGTCAAAAGATATCCTATCTAGGATAAACAGATCGAGCCAGGACTTGACGATATCCAGTGGGATCCCATTTACACCTCAAAATCCATAGACACCATGATAGAAACCCTTACCACTCATCTTCACTCTATTTTTGACCGACATGCTCCTCTTATCACAAAAATCATCCGACATCCTCCCACTCCTTGGCTTACTCCTGCTTTGAGAGAAAGAGATGCTGCAAGGCGACGGTTTAAGCAATCATCGACTTCCTGATGATTTTCTCTCCTTCAAACAGCTTCGAAACAGCACTCAATCAGCAGTACGCCGTGCCGAATCCCGTTACTACCATCATTCCTTATCCAGCTCTCCTAATTCCAAGGCCACATGGGCTATTCTTAGAAAACTGACCATTGGTAATACACCTCAGTCCCAGTCCAATTCCGTTTCTGCTGATAACCTCAATGCTCACTTTGTCTCCTGCCATCTTGCAACCACATCTCCTATGCCCAGTCCGGCTCCTATGTTTTCCTCTTTTAATCCTAATCACTTCTTTTTTTCCCATGTTACCCCAGATGATCTCCTTAACTCCATTCAGAAGTCCTATACCAATGATTACGGTCCCGATAACATCCCAGTCAGACTGATTAAAGCCACTCTGCTATCCATTCTTCCGATCCTTTATCATATATATAATTATTCTCTTCAAAATGTTAGCTTCTCTACATCCTGGAAAACTGCCCTAGTACGCCCCTTGAAGAAGACCTCAAACCCATCAGCTCTTAATGATTTCCGACCGATTTTCCTTCTTTCAAAACTCTCAAAACCTTTAGAGCTACAAATCCAATCCCAGCTATCCCATTTTTTAGAGGACAATAATCTCCTAAATCCCTACCAGTCCGATTTCAGGTCTGCTTATTATACTCAGTCTGCCTTAATCAAAATTTTCCTAGACCTTCACACAGCTTTAGATCAGCAGAAACTAACCATCCTTGTTCTTCTTGACTTCTCCAAAGCTTTTGATTCAGTAGTCCACAACATCGTCCTAACCAAATTTAAAAATATCTCTTTTTCTTCTAGTTCCCTTAATTGGTTCCAATCCTTCCTTACCGGTCACTCCCAGTATGTTATAATTCCCAATAACCCCCCATCAGAATCTCTACCTCTGTAGAGAGGCCCCACAAGGCTCTTCTTTATCCCTCACTTTTTCTTCATCTATATAAATGACCTCCCATCCTCTCTCCTGCACTGTCAATACCACCTGTATGTCGACGACATTCAAATTTACCTCTCCTTTAATCTGACCGATTTCTCAGATGCCATTCTAAAACTCCAAGAAGATATTAACAGAATAAGTGTTGGGCAAACCTCAACAAGCTCACTCTGAACGCCGAGAAGACAAAAGCCATCTTGATTGGATCCTGCTCACTCCTTAAATCCTTCCTGGTATCCTCCAATCTCCTCCTGAACAACTCACCTATCTTATTTCAAACTACCATTAAAAACCTAGGTGTTACTTTTGATCAAACCTTGTCCTGGAAATCACACATCTCCCAAATTTCCCATCGCACTCTCTCCACCCTAAAACAGTTTAATCGTCTATGTTATCTCCTTCCATATAAGTCCCATCAACTCCTAGTTTCCTTCCTTGTTTTCCCCTACTTCGACTATGGCTGTATGGTGTACGGTGGACTCTAAGGAAATTTCAAGGCAAAACTTAAACGCCTAATGAATTGTGCATTTCGATTTGTTTTCGGAATCTCAAGAGATACGCATATTACCCAGTATTACACTACATCTCGTACTTCCGACCTCTATCCTTCTGCTCACCGAACTGCTGCGTTTGACAAATCCTTTGCAATTCAAGCCGCCTCCCTCTTGAATTCTATCTCTCTTGATATTCGACACGCATAATCAGTTTCCTCTTTCAAACCTCTCCTCTTTAAATACCTACTCCTTTCTCAATCCGACTGACTACGAAATATACCTAAGAGAACTATTTAAGTAGCCCCAGAGACTATTTCTTTTTATTTATGTTATTTTAGTTTCCTTTATTTTTTTTATATATATGTATGTTTTTCTTTTTCTCCCTCTTTCTTCTGTATTTTTACTATTTATTAACTATTATTGTAAATATTTAATTTATTTATGACCACACAGACATGCATTCTGTACTTATAATTTGTTTTAAAGGAACAAAACAGTCCCCAAATAATAAAATATATTTTCATTTCAATAGTTGATCCTAATATCAGTTAAATCCGAAACTTGATGAAAACAATTGTGCAAACTGATAATTGGTAGTATATTAATATATGATCCCCTCCCCTTCAAAATAACAATGGATCCTTATTTAATATACCAAAAGGTTAATTTAAAAAAAAAACTAGATACAATTTCATTACTATAAACAAGAATATATATATGTGTGTGTGTCTATTTATGTAATGATTTTACTAAGTATAAAACGTTTTTAACCATACTCCAAAAAAATATTCGATTAAATAAAACAAAAACATATATTTTTTTTTTTTTATTACTCATGTTGATAAAATGAGTGATGAATGATTTTCTCGTGGCTAAACAAATAAGAGTGACCACTCTTAACACACCATTACTCATTTACTGGCTTAATTGTCCATTACTGTCTTCAGCCAATGTTTATTCCATTCAATAAATGACAAAAAATAGCTTGTGGAATGCATGAACGGAAGGGAAATATCTGACTTAGCATTGGTTGGGAGGAGTGGGAAGAGTTCTTAAGAGGTAAACATACAAAGTCTCCTGCCTCCTCTGCCAAACCATAGCGTTCGGGAGCACTGGAAAATTCCCTTTTTTTCAGTTTTTCACAAATATTTCAAAAACATAGTGTCGTATAGAAAACCTTGTTTTATCCAGAATTAAAGTTAGTAAAATTTCCTTTCAGGATGTTCCCATTTTTTTTTTTTCATCCTATCTGTGATATTGTTCAAGAAATTTACATATTTTTATTTAACTTCTCAGCCTTTTGTTCTACAGAAAAATTAAATGATAGATAGTTGTAGAAAATTTTATTTTATTAAAAAGTATTTAGTGAGTCAAAAGTTATAAATATTTTGCAGAGTTTGGTGATAGTTTGTGAAAAACACTATTTTGGTTATTCATAGTTCACTGTAGGGGCTAGTATTTTGAATATTTACCCATTTAATCAAATGCTTTAAACTATAATAATCAAGAATTGAAAATATAACTTATGGGATTTTTAAAGTTATTTGTATTATTCATTTTTTTGCTGAATTTGTCAATATTTTGATGTTTTGTAGGGTATTTATGTAACTGAAGTGCATGAAGGAAGTCCTGCTTCCAAATCGGGTTTACGAATGCATGACAAAATATTACAGGTATTTACATTAATCATATATAAATCAATATATTAAATTAGTTATTAATATATAAATTTATTCTTTATCTTATTTGTTTATTTGTTCATTTAATCGATGAAAAGTTTATATCTTCTGGAATTATCTTTGTTGTGTATGTGTTGGTTTTTTATTTTTTTTTATGAGGGTAGGTGAAAATCTTTAAAAGACTCCTCCATTTTCATGTGTTTATTTCTCTGTACTGTCTAATTAATAGCTAGTATTACTTTATAGAGTGGAATGACTATATACAGCTTAATGACTTTCCATTAACATCAAACATTTTATAAGTTTTCTCTTGAAAACTGACCAATGACCCCTCCTAGACCTTTCTTCTGTTTTCAATTTCTTCATCACTCACTGCCCAATGCTCGTCCACATAATAGAGTGCAACATAATATGGCTCACCAGGTTTTATGAAGTGATCTTCATACCACACAATTTTTCTAATTTTATTATTTCCTTAGCAAAGACGGTGTATGGAAAAAACATGTGCTCTAATGTATCTTTGATCATCAGCTACACTGTACTCTATTTTACCCTATATAGGTAGACAGTAAAGCATCCATCTCTAGTCAATAGTTGTATTACATTAAAGTTCACCCCTCACCTTGTCAACTGCCATACCATAAACTAATATAATATTTATTTATTAGCTTAATATACTTGGAGTAACCATGGAGTCTAACCCAATCAGTGTTAGTATGGGTTAATTTTATTAATAGAATAAGAAAAAATAAATAAGTAAATAAAAACACATGTCTACAAAACAAAATTTACTGTGCAGAATATAATTTATTTAAACAAATATTACAGATTTTAAAATTTAAAATGTGCATATACAATAAAATAATATTATTGGATGTTATTAATGTGATGCTATTTTAAAGGGAACCCAAATTAATCTTTGCTATTTATGAATAAATACAAATACACCCACGTAAATACACAGCTGACCTAAAGCTAAGGGGTAATACATGTATTAATGGAATCAGAAACACTTATAAGAATGTAAAATACTTTGTTTAACTGTTCAAGTTTTTTAATATCTAAAATACAATCCAGCGATAAATCATCTGTGACAGCTTCTATGGGCCTCCAGAAACAAACATTCCAGCATCAAGTGCTTTAGGCCATCAGTGATAAGTCACCCGCACCACTTACAATTTTCATTAATACCTACAAAGTAAGTAATGTTCCCATGAAACAATTTTAGGTAGCTACTATCCAAAACTCTCAAGTGATTTACTGTCCGTAGCATTCTTAGGGAGACCATAATTTGAAATAATTTTTAGGTTCCTAATAATTGTAACTACAGATATGTCTATACATACAGCTATAATTTGAATTAAAGGCACGTTCAATATCTCTGGAGTATAAGTTATTGGATACACTTGTTAAAATAGCATTTTTGTTCCTAATTAGTATTTTCAGATCAGAAAAGTCTTTAAAATTCCTCAACAAAATTGGGAACAGCTATGTTTTTAATTTTGAGACCCAATTAAAGTCCAGACTTGGCTCTGTAGTATCCAGAGCCACCAGTTTCTGCAAACTTTTTCAAGGAAGCCGCTGGTCCGGCAGTGATGACTGTCTTACACAGAAATTTATGGTTTTCTTCTAAACAGCTAAGACCGGTTAGTGGTGTGTGGCCACTTTCTGGTTTATCATTTAGTGTAATTAGGACATAATTTGGGCCAGAGATATAAGGGTTTGATAGATTCGAATATCTTAATCTCCAAAGTTCTGCTGCATAGAGAAGATTTGACGAGATCATTGAATCAAAAAGAGTCATTTTGGTATCCCATACATCACTCTTACCTGTTATTAAAATCTCTCTTACTTTTGTGACTACCACATTTGACTTTTGAATAAAGTATTTAGCAGCCTTGGAAAATGTTGTTGATGTTGAAAATAGCCCTCCTAGATAATTGTAAATTTCGTAAATTCTAGAGGTTTATTTTGCCAAAACAGTGACTTTTGTTTTTTCATTTGTGGTAATTTGTGGCATACCAGGATTTTTGATTTTTCGGGGTTTAAAACCTGTGAATTTTGGGCACAATACCTTTCAAGAATCTGAAGTTTTTGGTGGGTGCTATGCCACGAATTACTTAACATCGCAATGTCCTCAGCCAGTACTAGCATTATAACTTCATTTGCACAATCAATGGGTAAACCTGATGCATTGTTGTTTACAAAATAAGAGATAATGTCTTCTGAGAGAAATCTTAATAAAAAGAATTGGGCGCAGAATTTCATCCTGTAGTAGTCTAGAACTAAATTTTATTTCCTCCGATGCCTCATTCCCAATTTTTATTTGAATTGCAGCTGTTTCATACAGAGTTTTAGGCAATTTCACACTCTTAATACTAATGACAAAATCAAACACTTTTTCCAAAAAAGATCATTTTTAATGGGGACGAATACTTTTCTAAAATCTTAAAATATTGCGTAAACAGCTTCCCTTAACTTGGAGATGTATATTTATAATTGACATCAGGGTGAAAATGTGTTTAATCACAGCCTCTTCCTTTATGAAATCCTGCTTGTTCCTCTTGAATTAGGTTTTCACTTTCAGTCCAACCCTGGATCCTCAAAGCTAAAATTCCAGTAAATAACTTTGTTATGTTGTTTATCAATGAAATCCAATGGTAACATCTACATCTGCTTTGTCACCTTTTTTATGTATTTAATTATATTAGATTTTGCGGTAGTTTCTCAGTCTCCATAATATTGTTAAAAAGGTTTAATTAATAATGCTCCCATTGGGGAGTTAAAGTTTTGAAAACCTCATATATGACATTGTCCTTGCCCAGAGATTTCTTAGATTTGAGACTTTACCGTATACTAATATCTGCGGTCTACTTTCTGTTATTAGCCGCATCTTAACGCTGTTCCTAATGGATAAAAATTATTTTCTATTTTTATTTCGAGACTCGAAAGACTTTATTTAAATATAGGATTCACTTTTCTCATCAATTAGCTTTTGATCAGAAGAAATGCTACTTATTGCACATGCTGCTTCATAAGATGCAGTCTGAAACACACTTGCCACTTAATGAAGGTTCGAATGTATAACAGTACAAGAAGCCTTCTTGGGCCTCCTATGTTTGGCATAATGTGGGCTTGATGAAAATTTGGCCCTTGCCATTTTGAAAAAATATGAAATATCAACATTTCGCGTAAAAATCTTTTTAAGAAATTATGGATGAAAGTTGAACCAACAATATGAAAGCCCTGTACAGAGGGGTAGCGGAGTATATCTGTAAATGAAGAGGATCAGCAAAGGTCGGGTGCTCTCGGCTGTTTCCATATAGCTTCCAATCCATATTTCTCCTTTATTTACCAATCAATTTTCTTCATTCATTATATTTAACCATTTTTTATATCATTTCCCAATGTGAAATGGTTAATCATTTCAAATTATAAAAAAATTTAAGGTACTTTAGAGGAAGAAATTTGGTAATTAGGCATTTAAACACTCTTAGAGAACATCAATAATAATGAGATCTACATTATATTAAAAACTGCTTAATTTTACTTGGTTATTTGGACTCAGGTGACCTCAAAACATTTATTTCCGTTCAAAACTCGATTCGAAAATTTTCACAATCTCAATACTTTCCCTTACTATTTATTACATATATAGTAGTAATAAAGAAAAAAAACTTGTTTGGCCATTACCCTCACATTGGAAATCGGAAGAAAAGTGGAACTATAATAATTACTCTGTAATGGAAAATCTTTTTTAAAAAGTTAGCAAACCTTAACTATTTAAATTGAATTGAAGTTGGTTGGGGTGTTCAGTCTAAAAAATAAAAAGTAAAAATAAATAAATGATATTTATTTTTATTTTTGCTGACATTTCAGTCCAAAGTTTAGGCCTTCAACAGGGCTAAGGAAAGAACAGATAACAATAGGTATGAGAAATTATTAACATTATAAGAAAATAATAATCTAAGACATCATATTTTAGCAATTAGGTCACCCCATTTATTCTATGTCTAACTCTTACATTTTTATCTCATAATATTCCATTACATTTCTTTGTTAATTATTTTTTTCATTCTTTGTGTTATCTAATTTTATTATGTTTATTTCATTATGATTATTTAATTAGTCTCCAACTTTGTTGCCGTTATTATTTATTTCATAAGTTCCTCTCTGTTGTCTGTGTCTGTATCTGTGTCTTTGTGTGTGTGTGTGTGTGTGTGTTAATAATATACCTATTAATAAAATATACCTAATACATAAGACGGCTATGAAAAACATATGTTAATTATTGTTTTATTGTTAAATAATGTTTCTTGTCGTCTATAATTTTTACTTTCACTTCCTTTTGTCTGAAAATACTTATTTCTACTAAGAAGAAGGTGGTAAGTGAAAGTTGTGTGATGTACGCACCACATCAGATTTTTCTATTTGAAGTTGGAATTATAAATATTTAGGGTTATGAAGAATTTTTTTTATTAATGACAATTTGGAATGTACATTATTTGTGAGACTTTATACAATACTGGTGGTTAGTCTCATCTCCACTTTTTATCTTAGTTTTTCCTCCGTTTGTTGCGATGGAAAGTCGTATTTCGGGAAATCCATCACCACCGTCTCTCGATTCCTTAATCTTATCCTCACATCATCTATCAGAATGTCAATCATCAATAAGAATATCATTCTGACTGACTGTGAAGGGTTGATTATACGTTACAAAGTTATGTTGAAGATGGTTTAAACAATTGCCGTGGTTACTGCCAGGCCCCTATTTGATTGATAGACATCCATTTCCATTAATGCTATTGACTCATTTAAAATAAAGTTTTTTTGAAAATTAATACTTAGATGTTAGAGTATTTCTTCAAAGGTTTTTCTACATCTCTTATCCAAATTTTTATTATATTTTCCACTGTATCTTCTTTGTGTAAATAGTCCATGAATTCAATTGAATCATTTTTTGAGAAAAAAAAAAGACATTTTATTTATGTCTA